CTGGAGACGCAGCCTGTATCCTCCAGGCCTGGCGCAGCAGGCTGGAGATGCTCCTGTTGCTGCTGCTGTGGGAGGGAGGGCTGGCAATCGCTCGCCCATTCAGCGTGAGAGCCTGTGTGTAACACACCAGCCTACATGCAGCTCCTCCTTCCTGCCACTCTGCCTAGGAATCCTTCCACCTCTTTACAGAGAAAATGCACCCAAGGGAGAAAGGATCTCCTCCGTCGCCTTCCCTCCTCGTTCTTTCTTTTCTTCCCTTCCCTCCTCCTCCTCCTCCTCCTCCTCCTCCTGCCGCCGCACTGCATGCAACATCACCCACCGGAGTGGTGTGATGGAACAGGTTACTATCGATCAATCACCTTTGACCTCTCTCCCCCCCCTCTCCATTCCCACTTCCAGTCTCGGTCTCTCCTTTGCAGCCCGGCGCTCCTTCCTCATTGGTCGCCGGCGCTCACCCCAAGGTGTGGGCCGTCCCCAATCGGAGACGTCTGAGGAGGGAGGAGGAGGAGCCAATGAGGCCATGGAGGTGGCCTGAGCGGCTGAAGCCACGCTCCGATTGGTTGCGGGGATGCAAGGGGGAGGAGCCAGACGCGTTGCAAATTGTCCTTCGGCCGGCGAGGTGGCCCGCGCGCCCCTTCTCCGGCTGTCCAAGGGGGAAAGGACCAGGCGGGAAGGGAAGGGAAGGGAAGGGAAGGGAAGGGGGGGATTCGAACCCACGGAGCCATGCAGGCTCAAAGGCCAAGGGTGTTCGATCATTTGGGGGGGGATTCGAACCCACGGAGCCAGTGGATGCGGGCGGGGGGAACCTTTGCGATGCGAGGGCAATGCACCGACACGAGAAGGCTCAAAGGCCAAGGGTGTTCGATCATTGGCCAGGGGCGAGTTGCATCCGGAATCTCACCCCACCGAAAAGCACGCGGCTGCCCCTTTCGAGGTGGGCAGGGGGGACCCACTGAAGCAGGGCCAGTTCAGACAAAAAGCTTCCTGTAGACTTGTAGATTTTAACCCCTTTCTGTTTGGAAGGGGGGGAAAAACCAATAACACCCAAAGAGGGTAGGAAAGGTTTTAACAGCTGGACAGCTAAATTCTGTTATCTTGGCTTAGAGGCGTGTTTCTACTACAGGAAGGAAAGGGCTGAGCGTGAGATCACTTAGAAGTTGGCATGGCTGAACGAGACAGAAGCATAAAATAAGAGGATCGGGCAGGTTGGACTTCCACAGGCCTGCTCAAGCCAACGCTGGGTCCCCCGTGTCTTGCAAAAGGCTCACCAAGGCGAACAGCTTTTCCCCGCTGATATGAGAAGAACATGATCCATCTTGCCCATTATGCTATCTTGAAGGTCAACCACCAGCAGTATGCCTCGGTCAGGCTATCCAGGAGCCTCTGAAGCCACTGGTCAACTTACACACTTAAAACATGGGGTGTCCCATTGTGATATGTCTCTTTCCACAGAAAGGGACCTGAGATCATTGGGTTATTTTTCCCCACAGGGATAGTTATGTTCGTTGAGTGTAATCCAAACCAAACGCAAGAGCCCTACAAAAAATGTAGTGGGCAAAATAGGCATCCTGAAAACTTATGAGACCAAATCTGTCCTTTTCAAGTGATTGTAAGAGTTGTGTCTTTTTTTAAATGTCATTTAACAATTGCAACGCAAAGGAAAAAACAACAACCAAAAACCAGGAATTAAAACTATATACAAAAGTTATTCATAACAACGTAGCATACATAACAAACAACATAACATAATGTGAGATGATAAAAGCAACAAAAATAACTTTTTCTAGGTTCTGGAAAATTCTGAGGATGTCTGCACAGGTGCAGAACAACCCATTAGTATGAATCACAGAGACAACAAACAAGAAACAGCTAAATCACTACAGTAACTAGATTAAGAACTCAACTGTAATCTGAATTTCAGTCTTTGTTTTGATTATAAATATTGTATGCTTTGTTACTGCACCTCAGTATTATGTATGTTACATGGCTGACCTATGGTTATAATAATAAAGTTAAATCAAGTCAAATTTAACAAACTTGATTAAACTACCAAAATGGATCAGATGTAGGGAACTAACAGAATTCCAGAAATATTGAAAAGTTATTTATTGGATTAACTGGAAAAAAGAAAAGTACTTACTCATAACCCTTGTAGAAGATTGTGGTTCACAAATTGGTTTAGCTGGAAAATAAAGAGAGAAAGTGGATTAAACCATGGTAGATATGTAGTTGAAGGTCTACTATAGCATGGCATGAGCTTATTAAAAACTGGGCTAGGTTTAAAAGGTGCAATTATTCCTAATTATCCCATTGCAAATGTTCAAGTTATATGGATAAAGGAGATTGACAGAACCACACCTTACTTGTTCAGATTGCCTGAACACTAGGATAGCAAAGGCTAGTTTTTTCGAACATAGCGCAAAAGATCAGAGGATACTTCGGATTAACTCACCAAGAGATGCTAAAAGGAACAAAAAAAAAGCATTCTTCAGGGATGTGTGCAGCAAAAGAAATAGTGGCTCAGCTACTGTACTCAATGGGGATGGAAGAAGGTTAACGGGCAATAAAGGAAAGGCAGGAGTGCTCAATTCTCCCTTTAGTTCCTAAAAGACAGTCTCTATCCAAGCAAATGTGAAGTAGGAGTGGAAGGGACAGGAGTGCAGTCTGAGATTGATAAACAAATAGTCAAGGAACACATTACTTTGAACAAGTTCAACCCTCCAGGGCCAGATGCATTGCGTCTAAGAATATGGAAGAAACTGGCCAAAGAACTTTCAGAACTGTCTATTATTATAATAATGGAGGATGGGTCAAATGCTGGATGATTGGAGGAGGGCTAATGTTGTCCCTGTCTTCAGAAAGGAGGAACCAGGGAACTACAGACTGGTCAGCCTGACGTGAATCCCGGGGAAAATTCTGGAGTAGATTATAAAGCAGTCACTGTGCAAGGACCTTGAAAACGATGCAATAATAACCAGAAGCCAACAGATTATTAAAAACATATTGTGTCAGACTAAACTTATATCATTTTTTGACCTAGTAACATCCCTGGTAGACAGTGGAAATTATGTCAACATATCTTGTCTTCAACATAGTGCCCTATATTCTAATTCATGAGCTAACTAGGTAGGTGTGGGCTGGATAGAACAACTATCAGGTGGATACATTGTTGTTACAGAATCCTACTCAGAGGGTGCTTATCAATGGCTCCTGGCTCATTGGCCTGAAGGTAATGTGCGGGGTACCATTTGTCAGATATACTTTGCTTTAGATTCCTGCACTGAACAGGGGGTTGGGCTCATTGGCCTTATGAGCCCCTTCCAACTCCATTATTCTGATGCTTTGGCTGTGCCAAAGCCCTCCGTTCTCCTAATAAATGCCATCTGACTGGTGTCAGGAAATATGATTGCCTCATATAATTAAACATATCGAACCTCTGGTTGGAACAGGACGAGGAGAAGACATGGGAAAGAGGAGGAGAACATGTGTTAATTAGGTTGAAGAATAAACAAAACAAAAGGATAGATCATACCAAAAAGTAGGCTGAAAACTGTAGCGAGCATTAAAGAGGTGGTGGCATACAAAATTGTAAGAACGGTAGACACTGTCTTATACTGAGGGAGATGCTGATCTTTCTAGCTCAGTATGGTATACTCTTGACTGACAGCAGTACTCTAAGGTTTGAGGCAAGTCTTGCTCTGCAAGCATCAAACCTGAAACATTTTGCACAGCAAACATATACCCTACCCCGGTTGCTGCTGTCTTTTCCCCCCCATCATGAACCTCTTATCGAGATTCTCTGTTCTGAAAAATCTTATTGTTGCTAAGGTCTTGCCAAACAGGGCTGGGGCAAAGAAAAGATTATTACACTACATTGTTTCAGTCCGATCCTTAAGCTCCTTAAAATAGTATATTGCGTGTGAACGTATTTAGTTCTGTTCACTGATGTAAACAACAGGCTTTACAAGACAAGGTGGTTCTCAACCAGACTGTCCTAAGGGCTGATATCTAGATGTAGATAAAAATGATGTGGGAGGGTTCCTTGATTGTACCACTTCAGAAAGCACACAGGGACGTCTTTTATGGAGCAAGTAGCCAACTGGTGTTACAAATAAAGTGGGATATTCCTTCAGGAGCAAACAGCTACATCTCTAGCTGTTGTGAGATATATTAAAAGGATTCCAAAGCAAATGCAGTTTTAAAATACTGTATAACTTTTGAGCTGTTATGTACTTTTGAGCTTCCTCTCCACCAGAAACAGCATTTCCCCCTTGCCATTTACTTAATTACTATATTATGGGATTAGTTCTCCAACCAAAAAAATGTCTGAGACAGCGTATAGATGAAAACAGTAAAAAGAAGTGGCTGTGGTAAAAAGGACAAAAATAACACTACACAAACTGGAATTGCAACACAGTAAAACCCACAGTAAACCAAAAGGGAGAGCCAAGTTCATTATTGAAAGGCTGGTGGGAAATTACTGATTTAATAGCTGCTTTTTCTCTTCCCCTTCCTGCCCCCCTCTGCGGCTTCAGGCGCTGCTTCCCTTTGCCACCCCCTCACCAAATTGGTGGTGGGGGGAGCCTCAAAACCGAGGGGCCTGGGTCCCTTTCAGGAGCACGAACCCCTTCTCCCCCCTCCCGCCCTCCTCTTTTCAATCTGCTTAATGGGGGGGAGGGGTTTACACGGCCTTCCGAGCCCCCAGGAGGCCAAAAGGCTCACAAAACCAGGGGCGCCCCCGTCACCTCAGGGACCGGGGCTTTCCACCCAAGAAAAAAAGGGGGGAAAAAATCC